CACTCATTGAGCATAAGTCATGATAATGGAAATTACAGAGCAGAACTACATATTTAAAATTGTCGTCAGTTTTAATTACTGGATGGATGAGCTTTTAAAAACCGTAAAAACATCTTACACTATTTCATCCAATCACAGCTGCCACATGTCGCTCAGGGAGGACGACGTGCATGCGTGTGTATGTGTAGGTGCGGCTGCTTGTACTAGCCCAGACTGAAGTCGGTTTTATAGTGCTAGCCCACTGAGATACCATGCCGCAGTGAAGTATGGATATCCCACTCAGACACATTATACTGACTCCGAACCGACCAGTCCTTGATGTACCCATTAATGCCGTACGCCAGGTAGGGACCAACAAGTACCATATTTTAACGTCTTTTGGTATGACGATTCTGATTTAGTGTAGTGGAACCTGTCAGTATGAGTGAGAGACGATTTGAGTTCACGGCAACCTCCAGGTATATAGGCTGCAGGTAGAACGTCGCCGTCAACTCACTAAAACAACAATAACAACAAAACCAGTGCTGCAGTGCTATGACCAAACCTCAACACTCGCTGAGATTGTCGACATGAATGCTCATATGTTAAACAATTCTGTCAACAAGTTGGGGCAGTCGAATCACAAGTGTCATTCCATGGCATACGTTAACTCACCCCCCCCCCGAAATCACGTCGCACCCGCCAACGTCACGCCTCCTTCACCTCCTGAACAGGCCCATCTCAATCCACACTGTCCAAGCACAAACCCGCTCCTGCTAACCTTAAGCAAACATACCCGTAAGAAAACCATATGTATCTTAAATCAACACCTTCCCACCTGAAAGAAACACATGCAAAACAACCACATCCAGCACTTGTAACCTCAAACTGCTTGTTTTAAAGAAACTGCATAGTTCATTAACTTCACGATTTACATGACCAGATGACACGAAGTGATTTGTTTCAAACGGCGCTTTCAGTTCTGTGAACCAAAGCTTCAAATACATTACCACTTACTTAATAAGTGTGCTAAAGCCTACAACGAAACGTCGATCGAATCTATAACAGTTAAATAGTCCCCTGATAGAGCTTACCATTACCTAGTACACCTACTTCTAAGTGGGTCTCAAAGAAGTTAGAATATTCATGTTCCAGAAAAAACCCCAGCTATACAACCTTGAGATAAAACCAATTTAGAAGGCGTTTATCCGTCAAAAACAAACAGATTTTGCCTTACATTCATCACAAGAGAGAGTGAGGTAAAGTTTTGCGTTGGATCAGCCACATAGCGACGAGCGACACAAGATAACATTATGTATTGTCATATTAGATTGACAGATGACTGCACATTTGTGATGTTGCTCTGTATCAAGCACATGGCCCTATTGTCACCATTTATGGGAGTTTACTACGATGAAACCATGAAGATCCAGGTTAAAATTGATCTTCAGTTACCCATTATGTTCTTAAGGCGGGCGGTGGGTCCTAATGGTTAAGGCGTTCGCTCGTTCCAACGAAGACCCGGATTTGATTCCCCACATAGGAACATTATGTGAAGCCCATTGCTGGTGTTCCCCGCCGTGACATTGCTGGAATGTTGCTAACAGTGACGTTAAACCAAACGCACTGAATCACGTAAGAGGCGACTAACGGAATGGGTAGGTCAGGCTCGGGGACCTAGTTGACACATGTCATTGTATCCCAATTGTGTATAACGATGCTCATGCTGTTGATCACAGGATTGTCTTGTACATACTCAATTAGTTACAGACCGCCGCCAAATAGCTGGAATATTGCTGAAATATCAGACGTACCTACGATGACCAACCATTCAGATACAGTATGAAGGCAATACTAGTTCTACAAAATCTCATATCATAAACAAATACAATCATTTCAACCCGACTTTCACTACACATGTATAGAAATAACATATATCAGAAACGTAATGCACAATCCAACAATATTACAGGCATTCCGCAGTTGTCTTGACCTAGTGATCCAGGCTTCACCATTAACGGCCAATACCTCGAACGCACACGCACACGCACACGCGCACGCACGCACGCAGGCACGCACACTACCCCCAACTCACAGCTACACCTCTTAAACATATCCTGCTGTCTTCTCAAACCCAACTCTCATTATTGTTTAGCCAGCATACAGTCAGGTGAAAGCCTCTAACTACAGTAGTTATAAGACACGCAGTCAAACAGGCCCCGTGTCAAGCCAACAATGTGTCGCTATCTGTGACACGATACTGACGGCTGGGTTTTTCCGTGTCGACCGTATTCCTCGAGAATCCAGCCTGGGTATAGCCCACTCTGTACAGGGGTCACGGCTAGTTTCACTCAGCTGACAAGATCGTTTACCAGCAGGATTGTTCAGGATCAACACTGAAGACTATTCAGACAAATAATTCATACCACTAACCCTCTTTACATCATTCAGATTTGTTTCATTTATGTTCCTTTCGTCGATGAATGGCAACCTTTCATCCCTATGGACGAGTCTATAAATTCCTGTAGAACGAAGTGGCTTTGTTCACCGTATCAGCCCACTCAAAACATGTCTGACATTGCATTGCCGCCATGTCAGGCGATATGTCTGAACGCGGGAGATAGATTGTTTTTTAACGATTTGACCTAGTTAAGAGATAATGTTATGCGAACAGCTAGTTGAGAAGTCAGTGTTTAATGCACCATGCTTAAGCAGGAAGATTGAAGGACTAGCCAGGTAAAAGAGTGCTACATCGACAACTCGAGGCAGAAACAAACAGCCGACTCAGGTATAGCAATGGGTGGTAACACTAATAACTACCAGTTTACCAGTGGTTGATAGAATGAGCGACGTGGTGTAGGATGTGAATATACTTTTACGACGCTTTTAGCCATATTTCCGTAATTTCGCGGAAGGGGACGCCAGAAATGGGCTTCAGATTGTCCCCATTGTATTGCATCGAACCCGGATCTTTGCAGTCATGTGCGAATTACAAGGTTCACCTCCCGTCACTCCAACGACCTCCTCTTTCTCCATCCTCTCTCTCCATCCCCTCTCTCCATTCCAAACATTAAGTAGTAGATGATACAATCAAATCCAGGTAAACCGGACGTTGATAACACCCTCAAATCCAGGTAAATCAGTGGTTGATAACACACTCAAATCCAGGTAAATCAGTGGTTGATAATAAAATCCAGGCGAATCGGTGGTTGATAACACAAGCAAATCCAGATAAATCAGAGGTTAATAACACAACCAAATCCAGGTAAATCAGGGGTTGATAACGACCAAATCCAGGTAAATCAGGGGTTTATAACGACCAAATCCAGATAAATCAGAGGTTGATAACAACCAAATCCAGGTATATCAGGGATTGATAACGACCAAATCCAAGTAAACCAGGGGTTGATAACGACCAAATCCAGATAAATCAGAGGTTGATAACAACCAAATCTCCAGGTACACCAGGGGTTGATAACGACCAAATCCAAGTAAACCAGGGGTTGATAACAACCAAATCCAGATAAATCAGGGGTTGATAACGACCAAATCCAGGTAAATCAGGGGTTGATAACAACCAAATCCAGGTAAATCAGGGGTTGATAACAACCAAATCCAGATAAATCAGAGGTTGATAACAACCAAATCCAGGTAAATCAGGGGTTGATAACGACCAAATCCAGGTAAATCAGGGGTTGATAACGACCAAATCCAGGTAAATCAGGGGTTGATAACGACCAAATCCAGGTGAATCAGAGGTTGATAACATACTCAATTCCAGGTGAATCAGTGGTTTATAACACTATCAAATCCAGCTAATCTCCTGCTAGCTATTGCTACTGTATCCAGTTGTTGACATGATGCGATTGTAAAACCCTGTACGTTTCACTTCCTGTGATTAATCATGTAATGTAATCAGTCTATGTTGTTTGCACTATAAGCGGTGCAGAAAACTACTTGCCAGCAGGATGCTACTTATATCGTCTTTACTGCCCCGGGGATGCTCCGATAATGCAACGGTCAATTCCTCTAACATGCGTGTCACAGTGACCGGGTTCGACTCCTCTCATGGCCACGCTGTAAGAATCCCATTCCTGGTGTTCCCCGCCGTGATACTGCTGGAATGTTGCTAAATGCGGCGAAAAACAGAACTCACTCACTCACTCACTCACTCACTCTGTGTGCTTCACATAATGTAAACTCTAGTATGCAAATCAGATGACTTCCTGGTGTGCATAGCATAACATGCATTTGGTGTAGGGAAAACACAAAAACGTTTATAACCTGTGTTCGTGTTTCACATTTACTATTCAGATGTTTAGGAAGGACTGTGTTTCCTTTGTTTCGTTGGTGGGGAATAGGGCACACACGTATTTGTTTGTTGTATATTTCACAATACGTTCTGATGGGTCGTATGCCATCTGATGTGTTAAAGCGTTAACTTAATAGACCCTGAAGTGATCATTTCCGGTATTTGCCAAAAGGTCACTGGTTTTGGCTGCCACCCTTGTCCCGATAAACCTCCGTTCCTATATACTGGTGATACTTCTAGGAAGTACTGGTCATGAATCAAAGTCCGACTGAAATACTGCAACAAATGTGCACAATGGGGCAGTAATCTGTAGCTGTGCACCTGTGACGAAGGTCAGCGTGACATGGCGATCAACCAGCCATAACAGACATACATGATCAATAGTTAGGTTGGGTGTCGTGTATCATGTTAACAACAGATCGAGTGAGTCTATGCTTATTCCTATTGTTACGACAGTCCACGTTCGGCACCGAGACCTAGATACTAAACACCTGGTCAAATCAAATACAGCCCGGTTGTAATCCAAGAGAGGGAACGACAAGTCTGATCTACTTTCAGCTAGCAGTATACTTGACTGTATATTATGCATCTGACTGTCAACCTTTGTAACAACAGGTCACTGTTATAACATGGAATCTACCTTGTGTTAATGGATACTAATTACAGATTGTACTAATTGCAGATTGTACTAATTACAGATTGTACTCACCACGATGACGATCCGTTTAAGCTTCATTCGTGATGTCTCTTGCCTTGCACTGGGCTGTGTCACGTGACAAGCTAATATGACCCTGCATGCTCCAGGTATGGCTGCCAACCAGTGTCCTCGTCGGGGAAATATATTGTAGCTTCTTTATACCTCTTGTGTTTCATATTTACCGCCGTGATATTGCTGGAATATTGCTAAAAGCGGCGCAAAACTAAACTCAGTCAGTCAGTCAGTGTTTCATATTTTATCATTTAGTTGATATTTCAGATTTGTTATGTTTGTAACGGGTATGATAGCATTGATGCATTGCTACCTGGGTAATCAAATGTACCTTGGATAGGTGGATGGATGGATAGATGGATGTTCCCTCTAATAACATACTCCTTTTGAACTGTGTCGTCCCACATGAAGTAATAACACACGAATGCCTCAATGTCAGTCATGTAGAACCGAAAGAGGCCATGTTTCTTAAAACATCTCATTACTCCAGGTTCTGTTTTAACCCTTTCCACTTAGTTATGTTTGCTGTTATACCTGCCGAACGCTGGTTCAGTCTGTCTGCTCACTGTAGCATCTCCCGCCCCCAGCCTGCTTTCATTGAAACAGACCTGCTCCCCCTGTCTGCTCACTGTATCATCTCCCGCCCCCAGCCTGCTTCCACTGAAACACACCCGATCCCCTGTCTGCTCACAGCATAATCTCACGACCCAAGCCTACTTTCACTGAAACAGACCCGATCCCCAGCCTGCTCACAGTATCATCTCACGAACCCAGCCTACTTTCACTGAAACAGACCCGATCCCCCTGTCTGCTCACTGTATCGTCTCCCCACCCCAACCTACTTTCACTGAAACAGACCTGATCCCCTGTCTGCTCACAGTATCGTCTCACGACCCCAGCCCACTTTCACTGAAACAGACCCGATCCCCAGCCTGCTCACAGTATCATCTCCCGACCCCAGCCTACTCACTGTATAATCTCCCCACCCCAACCTACTTTCACTGAAACAGACCCGATACCCTGTCTGCTCACAGTATAATCTCACGACCCCAACCTACTTTCACTGAAACAGACCCGATTCCCTGTCTGCTCACAGTATAATCTCACGACCCCAACCTACTTTCACTGAAACAAACCCGATCCCCTGTCTGCTCACTGTATCATCTCCCGACCCAAACCTCCTTTCACTTAACAGACCCGATTCCCTGTCTGCTCACTGTATCATCTCCCGACCCCAACCTACTTTCACTTAAACAGACCCGATCCCCTGTCTGCTCACTGTATCATCTCACGACCCCAGCCCACTTTCACTGAAACAGACCCGATCCCCAGCCTGCTCACAGTATCATCTCCCGACCCCAGCCTACTCACTGTATAATCTCACGACCCCAGCCTACTTTCACTGAAACAGACCCGATACCCTGTCTGCTCACAGTATAATCTCACGACCCCAACCTACTTTCACTGAAACAGATCCGATTCCCTGTCTGCTCACAGTATAACCTCACGACGCCAACCTACTTTCACTGAAACAGACCCGATTCCCTGTCTGTTCACAGTATCGTCTCACGACCCCAGCCCACTTTCACTGAAACAGACCCGATCCCCAGCCTGCTCACAGTATCATCACCCGACCCCAGCCTACTCACTGTATAATCTCCCCACCCCAACCTACTTTCACTGAAACAGATCCGATTCCCTGTCTGCTCACAGTATAATCTCCCGACCTCAACCTACTTTCACTGAAACAGACCCGATCCCCAGCCTGCTCACAGTATCATTTCCCGACCCCAGCCTACTCACTGTATAATCTCCCCACCCCAACCTACTTTCACTGAAACAGACCCGATACCCTGTCTGCACACAGTATAATCTCACGACCCCAGCCTACTTTCACTGAAACAGATCCGATTCCCTGTCTGCTCACAGTATAACCTCACGACGCCAACCTACTTTCACTGAAACAGACCCGATTCCCTGTCTGTTCACAGTATAATCTCCCGACCCCAACCTACTTTCACTTAAACAGACCCGATCCCCTGTCTGCTCGCAGTATCGTCTCACGACCCCAGCCCACTTTCACTGAAACAGACCCGATCCCCTGTCTGCTCACTGTATAATCTCACGACCCGAACCCGCTCTCTGTATGATCTCCCGATCCCAACCCTACTTTCACTGAAACAGATTTTTTGCGAAACTTCCGTTTCTTTTGCTGTTCAGTATATTTGAATGAACATGGAAATTATAAAATGAAACGTCATCGGTGTTGGCCCTTTTCTCTCCTACTTTCTGGAAAATGTCAATATTATTGCTTTACACTAAACAGGGTAGTATCCGAGAAATGACAGGCTTAAAGCCGTGGTGTGATTGCTGTGTGCGGCCAACTGCATAGTGATTTAACATATCCACACAAAGTCAACGTTACCCGACAAAGGTCTGTCTGTCACTTTACATACAAGTGCATTTAGTAGCGGGCGTGAATACCTGACCCGCAATGTTATTGTTAGCTGACAGATTTCCAACGCTGTGAATTACCTGTTGGTATGTTGGTTGTATAGCCCCGTAATGTCACTGCCAAGGGACGGCGGCCTGTAAATTATCGAGACGATCAAGTGCTTTAAACACACAGTTTTACATCTCGAAACTTTACTTCCTCAAAGACCCGAATATTGTAATCGTTATCAAACCCTTAACAAACGACGATAGGGCAAGGAGGCGAACATGTTAAGGTCATATAGACAAATATAAGACGTTTCACTATATGCTGTCAAATGGCGGAGAAAGACATAAACTAAATGAAACTTGCTAAAATATGGCTCGCAATGTAACCTATGTGGCGTGATCAGTTAACATGTCAACGTCGGGTTTGTTTGCCATTAAGAGGCAAAAGATGCAGTTGGAGCGCGTCGAGGACAGTTGATGCTTACCTCTGGTAGGTATGCAAATTGGCAACAAAAGATCGGCGTAAGTGAGACAGCGTTTCCTTACTGGCTGATTATGATCCTGTTGTCCGCGTTACCATCGCATCCCTGTTTTATGGGTAGAGGTCTGGGAGAACAGCCTGCAATGCGATGCTGCCTCGAAACGCCTGCCACAACACTCACTAGCGTTCATGGTCCTGCTGCAACATGACACTACGTCACCGTGGACTGCTTTTCCCCGAAACGTGATCTCGAACGAAGTCGTCCTAGGAGCACATGCAATTCAATTTGCCAATATTCAAGGTCAATGGCCATACGAAAAGGTAGAACATGGTCACGATGTAGTCCCTTAAGCGTACGCCGATCTATTTTGTACAGTGACTCCATGCAACTCCATGCAATCACAATCAAACTGGGGGCGGTGGTATTTCCCAGTGATTAAAACGTTCGCTCGTCACGCTAAAGTCATGGGTTCGATTTCCCAAATGAGTACGATGTAGCCCATTTCTGGTGTCCCCAGTCGTGATATTGTTGTAATATTGCTAAAAGCGGCGTTAAGCCCAACTCACTCACTCATTCAAACTGACGACGCCGAGGAAGGAAGAACGCGTCACTAAAACGTTGTCCTGGGGGTCTGTCCAGATGAAGCCGCATCTCACCTGGGAGCAGGATCCTGTACCATGTCCCTTACCTGAAGCTCAGGTGCTGCCCACAACAAGCTTTATAGAAAGTAGAACATTTGTCAGGTAGTATATTTTCTGAGGCGATTTCGAAACCAGAATAACACGAACATGTTTTATTCGGATCAGGTGAGCTAAATGTCTTCAAACTATTTCAAAACTGTGACGTTCCTCTTCTTTTGTGAGACAGAAGACCGGATTGACAATAAGAAATTGTCAGTTCAAATATATCACATCATTTATATCCCCAGAAACCGATTCAGTTGGATGTAAAGGGAAAGGTATGCTCACATATGTGTGTATTTGTGAAAAGACCTGTGACAATCAGTGGCACCAGGTGTCGGGGAAAAGGGTGTCAGTGTCCTGCCCCACCTGTAGGGCTGTAGTTGACAAATACACACTATATGCTATCCTGTGGTTGTGACACAGTTACCTTGATAACGGCAATGCCCATATCAGCGTGACTGCCAACACCATGACTCACTGACTGAGCTGTACACTCTGATAAGGAAGGACAATATATAATCCATGGTGACCCCACACCACGACACGCTGATAGAGCTTTACACTCTGATGGAAGGACAATTTATAATACATGGTGATTCCACACCACGACACACTGATAGAGCTTTACACTCTGACAAGGAAGGTCAATATATAATACATGTTGACCCCACACCACGACACACTGACTGAGCTTTACACTCTGACAAGGAAGGACAATATATAATACATGTTGACCCCACACCACGACACACTGACTGAGCTTTACACTCTGACAAGGAAGGACAATATATAATACATGGTGACCCCACACCACGACACACTGACTGAGCTTCACACTCTGATGGAAGGACAATATATAATACATGGTGACCCGACACCACGACACACTGACTGAGCTTTACACTCTGATGGAGGGACAATATATAATACATGGTGACCCCACACCACGACACACTGACTGAGCTTCACACTCTGATGGAAGGACAATATATAATACATGTTGACCCGACACCACGACACACTGACTGAGCTTTACACTCTGATGGAGGGACAATATATAATACATGGTGATTCCACCCCACGACACACTGACTGAGCTTTACACACTGATGGAAGGTCAATATATACTACTTGGTGACCCCACACCACGACACACTGACTGAGCTTCACACTCTGATGGAAGGACAATCCCCACACCACGACACACTAACTGAGCTTTACACTCTGATGGAAGGACAATATATAATACATGGTGACCAAACACCCCACGACACACTGACTGAGCTTCACACTCCGATGGAAGGACAATATATAATACATGGTGACCCCACACCACGACACACTGACATACATGTTGACCCGACACCACGACACACTGACTGAGCTTTACACTCTGATGGAGGGACAATATATAATACATGGTGATTCCACCCCACGACACACTGACTGAGCTTCACACTCTGATGGAAGGTCAATATATAATACACGGCGACCTTGACACACTATCACACACTGACAGAACTTCACACTCTGACAAGGAAGGTCAATATATAAAACATGGCCACCCTGACACAGCCCTCGAACACAGCGTATCACGTATGTTTCCTCTTACGATTTTACTGAAGATTTTCCTGGTGTTAGCATGTTTAGATTTTTAAAGTTGTGTTGAAATATGCTACAAAGCGCCAGAATTTGCAGCCAGATAGGAAAATATTTTCCATTTCTTTTCTTGTTACGTTCGTCGTCTATGGAAGTTAAATTACCAATGTATGTCCCTGGCTGAGGATACACTGACAACAGCCAGTTACTTGTTTCAAACATTTTAGATATTTGAAGGTGTTTTACGGTATCCCCCAAAACACAAGAAACAATGCACGTTTTGAGGCTACATGTAGCACAAATGTCGAGGCTACAAAAGGAGGTTCTGTCAAAGGAAGTGTTTGTTATCTGCACTTTGCACAGAGTAAAGTCAATCTCCACGCATGGTGTTATTGTTCTAATCCTTCCTTGCAGTACATGACCTGATACCTTACACCACAGACAGCATCAAGCCAAGGTTAAATGTGAAGAGAAATGTGACTCGAGCACATGAACTGCGGGTTTTCCATTGTCCTGTTGTTTTACACTCGCCCTGTAGCTGTCGACTTCATTCAACATGAGCATTGTCATGTCTGACAGAGTTATCGTTGAAGCTAACCATTGTCCTCATCCACAGATAACGGCTGCGTTTGGGAGCGGGCTGAGAGACACAGGCAGAGTGAGTGAGTGAAAAAATTGAGAACGTGGCACAATGAGATGTGCACGAGATGGTGTAGCTTGACAGAATCGTTCCACGTACAAGGGATATTCACAATAGGACGTTTTAAAGTAGCGATCCCTAACAAACTGTGAGTATCGTAGATGGGAACAATGAGTTGTCAGTGGAAAACAATGGCGGGACGCCTCTCACCATCAACAACATCATAATAGGCATGATTGGAAGGTCGGTTAGTATCGAGGGTATCTCTCTGCACTGACGGTAAATACTCCAGATATTCCACCTCATCTTGACGCATCTGTTCCCTCTGTTCAGCCTGCTCCCTGCAACACAAACATAGGAAATATGTGTATTCCCAATGGTTTCTGGTACACTCCGTGCACGACAAAGATATGAAATATATATGCCCTATGATGTTTGCTATATACTCCACAAGCTCATGTTACCCGTGAAGGTCCAGGTTAGAATATTGATCTTCAGTAACCCATACTTGTCGTTAGAGGCGGCTAACGGGATCGGGTGGTTAGGCTCGCTGACTTGCTTGACACAATGCATGTCATCGGTTCCCAATTGCGCAGATCGATGATCATCAGTGGATGCTCCTGATCAGTGGATTGTGCGGTCCAGGCTCGATTATTATATACAGACCGACGCCATATAGCAGGAATTTGCTGAGTGCGGCGTAACACTAAACTCACTCACTCAAGCTCATATGATAATAATAATACCACTCATATAGCGCTCCATGCCTCAAAGGCTGGCTTTAAGCTGCCTGATAGGCGCTTGATGGCTTATAGTCATGTGACGTATCCCACCGGTATCCAGTTTCTGCTGGGAGAACAGAGGCAATTTTAAACAATTTTTTAACTCAATTGCCTAAGGTGAGACGACGCTTGTCTCGCACTCACCGAATGCAATCCTGTTTCTCACATAAAATTGTATACATTATGATTTGGGTTGACACACAATAGGACTTTTGATTCTGTTTCTCCACTCATATTACACTAACAAGCACCGATCCAGATGATGCTGATTATAGAATCACATATTCGTTACCAAATGATTAACCTACACTGGTCTTGCACAATAGATCCTGCAGGCTGCAGGGTATCTAGTATTAGAAACATATTTCCACAACAGAACATATTGGTCAGGGTGTTGTCATTGTGTGAGTATGTCACTGTTTAACCCGATACGTGCTACTGTAGGGGTTGCGCATTGACAGTTACCAAAACACGGCCACAAACTCACCTTTGTTTGGACAAACGCTTGTAATAGAGCAGGCATAGTGTCACCAAGATGCCGGACACAAGGAGAAGTAGTGACACCAACAGTCCAGTCAGTGTTCTCCTTGTCTGACCACCATTACCTTCTGTCAAATAAATAGAGAAAACTGACACTAAACATGTGAAACAGTCCAGGCAGTGCACTCCTTGTCTGACCACCATTACCTTCTGTCAAACAAACAGAGAAAACTGACACTAAACATGTGAAACAGTCCAGTCACTGCTCTCCTTGTCTGACCACCATTACCTTCTGTCAAGCGAACAGAGAAAACTGACACTAAACATGTGAAACAATCCAGTCACTGCTCTTCTTGTCTGACCACCATTACCTTCTGTCAAACAAACAGAGAAAACTGACACTAAACATGTGAAACGGTCCAGTCAGTCCTCTCCTTGTCTTACCACCATTACCTTCTGTCAAACAAACAAAGACAACTGACACTAAACATGTGAAACAATCCAGTCAGTGCTCTCCTTGTCTGACCACCATTACCTTCTGTCAAGCAAACAGAGAAAACTGACACTAAACATGTGCAACAATCCAGCCAGAACAGTCTTTTTCTGAATCAAGATTAAGCAGGCATTGCATTGCAGATTACAGTTATTACTTATACAAAACTCACGTGGGTCATTCTCACAGTCGCCCTTTTCACAGTCTCCAGACCCATGGCAGTTTTCACATCCACAGTTCTGACCGTCAAAAGGAGATTGACATTCAGTGCATCTTCCGGTCGATCTGTTGCAGATCTTGCATCGGCTGGAACACGACTTACAGCCAGTCCCGTAGTAGGAGTGTACACACCCAGACACACAGGATGACCCCAGCTGACAATATCCTCCATCACAACCACCTGGACATGCTGTACAGTTACCTCCTTGACTGTCACAGGGTATGTTGCAGCCAGCACCTTGATGTCCCGGGACACAGCCGTCTGTACAGTTGACATTGCCATTTCCTGATTCTGTACATTTCTTATTAAGACAATTCTCACTACAAAAAGCATCGCATCTCCGGCCGAAATACCCTACAGTACACTCCAGGCAAATCCCTGCTCCGTCACAGTCGGAACAGTGCTGGTTGTCCTTGCAGGAGACAGGTGGAAGTGTGGAGCTTATCTCTGCTGAAGAATCAAATGTAATGACCTGAGTTCATGAAACATGAATGTATTAACGTTTGATGCTTCATGCTTTTCGAGTTTCTTGTTTGTTGTGAATTGGTCGATTTCTTTATTCTTTAAAGACACATTAGGCAATGTCCCAGTTATATATATGGTCGTCGGCCTGCAAATAGATTCTGGACCAGACAATCCTGTGATCAACATCATGAGCATCGATCTACGCAACTGGATACGATGACATGTTGAAAACTCAGCAAGCCTGACCACCCGATCCCGGTAGTCGACGTTTACGACGAGCATGGGTTACTGAAGACCAATTCTAACCGAGATGTTGGGGTGACTTTATACTGACGTCAAACTTTTCGATTTCTGACAGGGACGCTTAGTTTTGGAAAAAAATAAACTTACACTGTTATGGTCTCCTACGTCCCCTGTCCTATAAATCTTTCTAACATTTCATTAATGTCCACATGGGGTACTTGCGTAAATTGTGCTCTGTTCCTCTTACCTTGTGTGGCGATATGTGAGCACATCAAACACAGAATATTCAACCAGTCCATGCTTGTTCTGAGGAAGTGATATAGCAGTCCTGAATGAAAACATGCACAGTCGGTGTTATAATAGTTTCACGATGTTAAACTAAGGTAACAAATATTGTTCATGAAATACTACCTAAATCAAGTGGTACTTACATTAACCCTGAGAACGCGTGACTGAGAATAAACAACAACGTATTTTGTTTTGGTTTCCTTGTATTTAAAACTAGAAAATTCATCGAGTCGGTTGACTTCACTTTTCTATTCCTTATTTGCAGGAAAATGTGCTTTTGTTGAAATGTCAAGGACGTTTGAATGCAAACGCGAGATAGTTGAGTCCTTGTTTCTCATTTAAAAGTAAGTTATTATTCGTCAACACGGCAAATGTATACAATAACAATATGTAATGACTTACACAATCCCTGCTGCTGTATGACAGGACTTATTTCATATGATATGCAATGTGTGACATACGTCAATGATATGTTATGTACGATGTGTGAGATACGTCAATGATATGCTATGTACAATGTGTTGAGTGTGATATCTTGCTGGTGGTATTTACAGTACTTATCTGCATGATATGATATATGATATGTTTCATGTATTATGTGACGTGTGGTATGTGTCATGTATGATATGATGTATGGTATGTGTCATGCATGATATGTCGGGTGGTATGCGTCATTTTTTGATATGCCGAGTGGTATGTGTCATGTATGATATGATTTATGGTACGTGTCATGTATGATACACCGTGTCGTATGTGTCATGTATGACATGAAGTGGTGTATGTGGCATGCAAGATGTGACGTGTGGTATGTGTCATGCATGGTATGTTCTGTAGTATGTGGCATGCATGAAATGACGTGTGGTATGTGTCATGTATGATTTCACGAGTGGTATGTGTCATGTTTGATATGACGTGAGATATATGTCATGCATGGTATGACGTGTGACATGTGTCATGTATGATGTGTCATGTTTTATGTGTCATGTATGATATGTCATGTGGTATGGATCATGTATGATTTGCCATGTGGCATGAGCTTTGTATGATATGACGTGTGGTATATGTTGTGTATGATATGACGTGTGTTATGTGCCATGTATGATATGACGTGTGGTATGTGTCATGCATGATACGACGTGTGGTATGCGTCATGTAAGATATGACGTGTGGTATGTGTCATGCATGATATGACGTGTGGTATGTGTCATGTATGATCTGACGTGTGGTATATGTCATGTTTGCTATGACCTGTGGAGTGTGTCATATTGGATATGACGTATGGTATGTAATACGCATGGTATGGTGTGTGGCATGTGTCATGCATGATATGACTTGTGGTATGCGTCATGTTTGATATGACGTGTGTTATATGTCATGTATAATATGGCGTACGCTATGTTTCATATATTATATGATGTATGGTATGAGTTATGCATGATATGACGTGTGACATGTGTCCTGTATCATCTGACGTGTGGTATGTGTCATGCATGATATGATGTGTGGTGTGTGTCATGTTTCATATGGCGTACGCTATGTTTCATATATTATATGATGTATGGCATGAGTTAAGCGTGATATGACGTGTGACATCTGTCATGTATCATCTGACGTGTGGTATGTGTCATGCATGATATGATGTGTGGTGTGTGTCATGTTTCATATGGCGTGTGGTATGTGTCATGTATGATATGACGTGTGGTATTGGTTGTGCATGATATGACGTGTGACATGTGTCATGCATTATATGACGTATTGAATTTATCACGCATGATATGATGTGTGACATGTGTCATGTATGATGTAACGTGTGGTATGTGTCATGTATGATATGTCGTGTGGTTTATGTCATTTTTGATATGGCGAATGGTATGTAAAACGCATGGTATGTCCTGTCGTATGTGTCATGCATGATATGTCGTGCGGTATGTGTCATGTATGATATCACGTGTGGCATGTGTTATGTATGATATGACGAGTGGTATATGCCATGTATGATATGACGTCTTGTATGTTTCATGTAGGATATGTCGTGTGGCATGTGTCATGTATTCTATGACGTATGGTATGTGTCATATATGATATGACGTATGGTATTTGTTATGTATGCTATGACGTATGGTATGTGTCATGTTTGATATGACGTATGGTATGTGTCATGTATGATATGACGTGTGTAATGTGTCATGTGTGATGTGTCGTGTGGCATGTGGCATGTTTGATATGACGTATGGTATGTGTCATGTTGATATGACGTATGGTATGTGTCATGTATGATATGACGTGTGGTATGTGTCATGTGTGATGTGTCGTGTGGCATGTGGCATGTGTGATATGACGTATGGTATGTGCCATGTATGATGTGACGTGTGGTATGTGTCATGTATGGTATGACGTATGGTATGTGGCATGTATGCTATGACGTATGGTATGTGTCATGTATGACATGACGTATAGTATATGTCATGTATGATATGACGTATGGTTTGTGTCATTTATGATATGACGTGTGGTATGTGTCATGTATGATGTGATGTGTGGTATGTGTCATGTATGATATGACGTATGGTATATGTCATGTATGATATGACGTGTGGTATGTGTCATGTATGATGTGACGTGTGGTATGTGCCTTGTATGATGTGACGTATGGTATGTGTCATGTATGATATGACGTGTGGTATGTGCCATGCATGATATAACGTGTGGTATGTGTAGTATATGATATGACGTGTGTCATGTTGGATATGTGACGCTCCTCATGTGAGTTTTAATATGCCTTCACGTGAAATGTGTTCTAAATTCTGTGTTAAGTATCATGTATCAAGTGTCATGTAATATGTACACAGGCGAGGCGACAACTTAGATCGGTTTCCATTGCTTCGTGACACAAACATACAATGCATTGAGTAGTAGTGTTGTGGATTTGGGAAGAAGAAACTAGATTCAGCAATCTGCTGATATTGGCTTCCTGTTATCACGGAATACTTCTCTGTGGTGCAATATGTGTGTTCTGTTCCCAGGCGTGTAGAACAAAGTTGACAACACTAGTACAACACTGACAACAAGATGTCGTCAGGCAGACTGAAAATGAAGTTTAAGACGTTACTGACAAACTATTTCATGGCCGTCTACAGCATAACAACTGTGATATGTATCAGAATAATCGAATCTGCTTTAGGTTACAAATGATGAAAACACGACCTGTGACAGTGGAAATTTCCAATTAAATCCTTTCTATATTTCGCTAATATTTTGACATTAAAGCGATACTTAGATAATAGACACATTCAACGGTTACCGTTTCTATGTCCATATGGACACGCTATACATTCATCTCCTCTGATGTCCGTGTCGCCCACAGCTGATATTTGTAAACATACGAACACAGACAGTTACTGAAACCACGTCCTGTAGGCTGACATGGTGTCAGGTTAAGTTATGCTAATTAATGCAAAACTAAAGTAAACATGTATTGATGCAACTAAGTGTCACAAGATGAAGCCGGCATGTGTCTTTATAAATAATTTTGCTGACAAATGATTATACCACAACGTGCTAATAATGTATTGAAGCAACTTAGTGTCAGAAAATGAAGCCGGTGTGTGTCCTTATAAATAAGTTTGCTGACAAATGATTATACCACGACGTGCTAATAATGTATTGAAGCAACTTAGTGTCAGAAAATGAAGCCGGCGTGTGTCTTTATACTTATGTTTGCTGACAAATGATTATACCACAACGTGCTAATAATGTATTGAAGCAACTTAGTGTCACAAGATGAAGCCGGCGTGTGTCTTTATAAATAAGTTTGCTGACAAATGATTTGCCACAACGTGCTAATAATGTATTGAAGGAACTTAGTGTCACAAGATGAAGCCGGCATGTGTCTTTATAAATAAGTTTGCTGACAAATGATTTACCACAACGTGCTAATAATGTATTGAAGCAACTTAGTGTCACAAAATGAAGCCGGCGTGTGTCCTTATAAATAAGTTTGCTGACAAATGATTATACCACAACGTGCTAATAATGTATTGAAGCAACTTAGTGTCACAAAATGAAGCCGACGTGTGTCTTTATAAATTGGTTACCTGATAAATGATTATACCACAACGTGCTAATAATTCCTGAACAAAATGGTGAACAAACTTCAGACTGATGTAGCCATTGCAACCCGTGAAATCTAAAACTATCTATATGTATATCGTTAAGCAATGGACTGTACTTTCTGATATCACGCTGAAGACCAAGGTTCGATCCCCTAAATTGGAGCAATGTCAGAAGCTTTCCCACCGTAATATTTCTGGAATGTCGTACATCTGACACGCTGTTATTACAGCAATCCTCACATTGTCCTTGAACAATGGAACCACTGAACCCCCCGTTATCTGGAATATGTCATACATCTCACCTCATTGTTATTACAGCAATCCTCAGATTGTTCATTGAACGAAGGAACCAATGAACCCGCCGTTATGTGGAGGGAAATGTTTGGTCATTGCGTAATCCGCATTTAGTTACAATTTTGCAACTTATCGGATTTCCGCTCATTTGTAGAAAGATTTCCTAAGGAAATGAGCATAACGATATTCAGATCACATCGCTGTTTGGATCGTTGCATGAGTCACTGGTCACCAGTATGGTGATCTACATTCAGTAGTTTGCAATCTATCGCCTGTTTTCATATTGCATTGTCATTTAAAGTTAAAATATTACTTAAATACTAGTTTTAAATATAAATCTCTGATAATCTAGTTGTATTACTGTCCTTCGTTGACAGGTTTTTAAAATTTACTTTCATTTACTATATCCGTATAATTTGACCTAACTCACTCACTCACTCACTCATTAGTCACGGATGACTCTATTACTTCAATATGATAACAACACACAAGAATTATTTAGATTCTTTATTCAACATTCAAAACAAATACACTGTGCGTGACTGAACATCGTCAGTCACCTTGTCGTTGATTGGGGCTGTACACAAATGGAGCTGTGCAACTATTTTGAAATGGTATTTATATTATTAGTCTGCACGAAACTGTCATGGAAAGGAAATTGAAAGTTGAATGGGTGTGGACGTAATGAGCCACACGCAGCGACAATGACTATAAGAGGTCTACATTTTATATATCATATCAGTCAACATTTTCTTATATTATTGATTATAGGAAATGCCGAGTCGGAATGCTGCTAATCACAACATCTCCATGACATATCTTGAAGTTGGAGAGTCCCAGTGTGATATGTGTACGTCATTTCAACGGAAACAAGATCACCGCATCTCATTAATGGGATTGGTATTCCCTCCTGAATTTATTCTAAGATGGTCCTTGAAGTGATAGATCAAGTCGACATCCCCTGCACAAGATAGCATATGTCAGGATCTTTCATCTACGTCATCAACGCGAAGGATTATTACCAGTCCATGTTTATCTCGTCTTCATCACAATGTCTTCTGGAATCCTCATCGACGTCTTCAGACAGCCTATCACTCACCCCATGTCTATATCGTCTTCATCACAATGTCTCATCTGAACCGTCTAAAGAAAGACTATCACTAGGTCCATGTATACCTCATCTTCATCACAATGTCTCATCTGAACCGTCTAAAGAAAGACTATCACTAGACCCATGTCTATCTCCTCTTCATCACAATGTCTCATCTGAACCGTCTAAAGAAAGACTATCACTCACCCCATGTCTACCTCGTCTTCATCACAATGTCTCATCTGAACCGTCTACAGAAAGACTATTACTGACCCCATGTCTACCTCGTCTTCATCACAATGTCTCATCTGAACCGTCTACAGAACGACTATCACTAGACCCATGTCTATTTCCTCTTCATCACAATGTCTCATCTGAACCGTTTACAGAATGACTGTCACTAGACCCATGTCTATCTCCTCTTCATCACAATGTCTCATCTGACCCGTCTAGAGAAAGACTATCACTAGACCCATGTCTATCTCCTCTTCATCACAATGTCTCATCTGAACCGTCTACAGAAAGATTATCACTGGACCAGTTCCACTTTCGTCGACATCACAGTATGTATGGTGAGACCTTATGTACATGGATGCCAGCCTCTCTCTGGCTGGTTCATCTCGATATTCAACTTCCTCTTGGACCGCCCCCGCTCTTCAAAACAACAAAACTTCACATTAGGTATAAGGAACAAGGGGCTTAAGGTATTGTTACACTCTGTAACAGGCATGTGTATATGAACGAACGAACGAACGAATGCAGATACTCAAATGATGCAACACAATGAGATCGATGTTGTCAACATTTCAGTCATGACCTATGTCCTGATTAAAACATTCCCGAGAGGAGGTGGGGTAGCCCAGTGGTAAAAGCGTTCGCTTGTCTCGTCATAGACCTGTGTTCGATTCCCCATTAGGGTACAATGTGTGAAGTCAATTTTGTGATGTCCCCCGCCGTGATGTTGTTTGAATATTACTAAAAGTGGTGTGAACCCACATTCAATCACTCACGAAACATTCCCATGTGAGCATCACATCAAATTTTCCATCTTCACACAAGCCATGAAAATCTGTGTTTCCAACATTATGAAATACGGCATGACATACACATAACGGACGAACGATGATCACAAATCTCACGGGCGTTTATTGAATATACTTTTCAGCTTACCTTTGTGAGAACGTAATTCTGCAGTAGCAGACACAGACAGTGATCAGGATGCAGAATACAAAGAGGCAGAGCACTGTCAAGAGACCCATGTTGATTGATTGATTGAGGTCCCGATCATCACTGACCTCTTGGTCTCCTTGGAACAAAACAGGAACGAATCAAGGCGTATATTGGACATATCCGGCGTTAACTGTGTTAACTGTGTTAACGGTGTCGTTATTGAGTTAACATTTACTACCTCTGATGATAGACTTAACAGTGTGGTAGGTGTTGTGTCTGGCCGAGGTTTACATATTTAGTTGAACATAACACATGACTACTACCCACTCTAGAATCAATATAGAACGGGACATAAATAGCATTGCAATCTTATAATTATTACAGCTGCTTATGCCTAAGGTCCCGTTATGCTGTTCCCAATCTGTATAAAGAAGCATGTTATTGCCTTTGAATATGCCGTTTAAATGAGTTGGTTTGTTTCTTTCTTGTTTCACCCTGCACTAAGCAATATTCCAGCAATGTGGCGGCTTTCTGTAAATAATCGGGACCAGACAACCCAATCATGAGCATCGATCTACGCAATTAGGATACGATGACCTGTGTCCACCGTGCCACCGAGCCTCGCCATCCGATCCCGTTAGTCGCCTCATACGACAAGCATGGGTTGCTGAAGACCAGTCCTAGCCCGAGTCTCTAAGGGTATGTTATTTTAATAAAACACTGTCAGCTATTCACCTTCAGGGCATGTTTCGATGGTACATTCAGCTAGGGTACAGTTGAGTCTGCATGAAGATCTGCATCCACGCCCGGTCTTGTTGCAGCCTCTGAAGCAGAATCCTGACATCTGATCACAATCTCCATCACCACAAACTCGACATGACTTGTTGCAGTGGTCCCCATACAACCCCGGCTTACATCCTGTATCCGGGGGTTTAACATCTGGGTGACGGGATCCGTGGACACAGTCGCCATGTTTACAACCACTGTCAGTATGTCCAGGTACACAACCACCTTCACAACCGCTGGCGGGGTTCGTCTCAATGCATGTTCCTGTTATTCTGTTGCATTGCTTACATCCACTTGAACAGTTCTTACAGCCAGCCCCGTAGTAGGAGTCTACACATCCAGACACACAGGAAGAGCCCAGCTGACAATATCCTCCATCACAACCACCTGGACATGCTGTACAGCTACCTCCTGTACTGTCACATGGTATGTTGCAGCCGGTACCCTGGTATCCAGACACGCAACCATTCGTGCAATTGTCATTACCATTGCTTGAAAGTGAGCACGCTTTGCCCAGACAGTTCTTGTTGCACTTGGACCTGCATTTCTGATCATAAAACCCAAGTAGACAGTCAGAGGTACAGAATCCTGTCGTGATGTCACAGTCCGAACAATGCTGGTCCTCGGTGCAGTGAGAAGCTGAAAGGGATGGTGAACATGTTTATCGAGGAAGCAATGTTCAGCTGATAGGAATTAACAGACACGGCATCATGCACTACACCATATAGAGTGTACGTTATACCTTTTACCTTATGCCTGACGCCTTGTGCCTTATGTCTAATACATTGTACTATTTAGATTGTAAATGATACATTATACCTTATGCAATATGCATTATACATCGTCGTCGTTATTGAAGGGTCAAGCTATTGGTAACACTGTTTCTTAAAAGTTGTAAAATCTTCGGGATTTTTTAATACATACCACTCAATGTCTTAACAGTATGGAAAAACAAACCAGGTCGTTGACGTGTTATTATTACGTTCTTTAACATCCAATACATTCTGTTACAAATGGCACATTTATTATTCAGATTGTCAATACGGAAACCCACCTGCCGCTTAATGTCAATGATTTGCACGTACCTTATATCTTATATCTCTTACATATTACCTTATACCTAACACATTGCTATCCTATTTTCTATAACACATTATACCTTTTTACATTATAAAATGGTATATATGCTATATTTTACCTTATACGGTACGGTGTACCATAACATTATACATCATATATATACAGTTATAAGGTATAAGCTATATGGTACGTGCAAATCATTGACATTAAGCGGCAGGTGGGTTTCCGTACTGACATTCTGAATAAAAAATGTGCCATTTGTAACAGAATGCCATTATATGTATGATACATTATGCATTATGCATTCTTCCCAAGCAAAGCTGCCCCTATTGCGAAACTCTGCGACATGAACTACCTTCGCGGTACTATATCGCGATACAGGAAAATAAACGTTTGGAAAAGTTAATATTGTCCCTTAAAATGACATACATGGTGTTGACAGTTTGGCTAATACGCCAACTAAAACGCCACTTTTGCCAAGCTTTCGCGGCAAATTCGCGAGAGTTTCACGAACAGCAGCGGTAACTCTGCTCCATTCCGGTACGAGTAACGCGATACTTTGCGACCTTTCTGCGCCATTCCGGAACGAGTAACGTGATACTTTGCGACCTTTCTGCGCCATTCCGGAACGATAAACGCGATACTTTGCTACCTTTCTGCGCCATTCCGGAACGAGTAACGCGATACTTTGCGACCTTCTGCGCCATTCCGGAACGAGTAACGCGATACTTTGCGACCTTCTGCGCCATTCCGGAACGAGTAACGCGATACTTTGCAACCTTTGTGCTCCATTCCGGAACGAGTAACGCGATACTTTGCAACCTTTCTGCGCCATTCTGGAACGAGTAACGCGATACTTTGCGACCTTTCTGCGCCACTTTCGCGGTGCTTTAGCGGTATGGCGAAACTACATCGCAATATAGGAAGGAACTTGTAGCGTAATCTGAATTGTCTCTTAAAATGCCATACATGGTGTTGACAGTTTCTCCAGGCAGTTTGTCACTGATCATGATGAAAGTCTAGTACAGCCCGATGTTACTAACAGTGCATACCACGAGTGTTTATAGCTGTAAATAATATACTTACGACATGAAACAGTTACTACTTAGTCATGCGGGAAATATTATTCACTTATTTACCTTGTGTGTGCGAAAATATACAGGCTAGGGAGAGAATAGTCAACGTGAACATTTTTCCTGAAACGATAATAAGAAGAGGTGAAATATTGCATGGTTAAAAGTGAGTGAATATTCTTTAGCGCCGCATTAAGCAACTATGCAACTATTCTCGGTGAATTATATGAACACGTGTAAATTACATAACACACGGACGTAGACACTGGAACATGCCCTTGCATCACATCAAGACCAACAACTCATACTGACTTGTTAGACACATATGTTTCACTATTGACGAAGTCAGTATACTTGCTGTTGTTGTTTCACTCCCCTAGATGCATGTGTAAGAATCCGTATCTCCGCATGTCCAGCTGGTGACTGTGAACATAGCTAGGTCGTCATGGTGAATGAACCTCATTGCCTGGTATGTATGTCGTATGTCCAGCTGGTGACTGTGAATCTGGTTAGGTCGTCATGGAGAACGAACCTCATTGCCGGGTGCATACATATGTGTATTGAGGAAATTATTTGTTGACATTGTGTTTCAAAACACTCGCTTCGACAAAAAAAGGAAATTACATTTTATGGACAAAGGCCTGTATACAATCTCAGTAGTTGGTTGGCAACTTCGATTTTAGAATTCTGTGTCAACAAAATAATGTATATGTTTTCACTTGACAATAGTTTTGTTACACTTCTAGAGTGTTTAATAAAGAGCAGAACACAGTGAATTATACTTATGCATTAGTTTGTTTAGTATCAGAATATAAGCCACATTCAAAGCTCTGTAAATTAAACGCCACCATTTCTCTTCGACGCTGTACTCAGCCAATAACACTCCAGCCGTATGACAGCCGTCTGTACATGATGGGTTCTCGACCAGACAACCTAGTGAGTGATATCATCAGCGTCAGTCTAGGCACTGGGGTTTTGGTGACTTAAACATGTCTGCGAGCCTGGCCGATCCCGTTAGTCGCCACTTAAGACAGGTATGAGCTGCAGAACAGTAAAAATATTCTTACCTCGTTTCGTCATGGGGGATGATGTGTTTGGGAAAATGAATACACGCACAACGAAATGCGTGTTTCTTCCATACATGACTGCCTCAAGGTCTCGGTTGACTGGATTTCTCTAGAGAACAAACCTGTTTTGCATTGATCAAATAAATGTTCAAGTTGTTCACGGTAGAGGAAAATATTTCAACACAAATTAAACGTTCTGGCTCATAACGTGTATATAAATGTCTACCAACGAGTGGAGGACGATGAACTGCATTGAACACAAGGAACATATTTCAGAAATTGTTTCGAATGAGTAATACGGCAATATTTACGTTGGACCTCCATATACGGCAACCTGAGGCTTACACGTGGACATATATCAGAGGGACACTGAAAGATCACTACCCTGTAGAAAGTACTGTGTTCTTAAATAGAAACATGCCAGACCGTAAACAACATTATGTTATTGTATAAATCGACATCTAGGCGTTTGATACGGACATAATGAGCTGTTTATATCACACGATAGTTTTACATACAATATAACAACCATGTGTCGATCACATATGAGTCGAGTTTGCAGTTGTCTCGAATTACAAGCTTAGTAATTTCGTATTTTTCTTTATTCATTTGTCGGTAACATCGGATAACTAGACGCATTCACGTTGTTTGCGTCAAATTCGACACAACGGTATTCGACCGGAAATGTATCGGACAAATAGTATGTGCACTGTATAATAAGTTTCAAATTTATTTTTTATAGACATCTTCAACAACCAGTTAAAACGTAAAATTAGTAATCTGTATTGAGCATATTTAACTTAAATGTTAAGTGCAACGCGAGTGTTAAACTGTGAATGTCCAATTAACTAAATAATTTACTAAAATAATCATATAGCCAATCATATCGACTCACGTCATAATATATACAGTAACTTTGGCAACATTGCAGAGTACTGTATACTGACATGACTGTGTCGTGTTGACATATGACTACTGATATGACTATATCGTGATGTCATATGACTACTGATATGACTATATCGTGTTATCATATGACTACTGACATGACTGTGTTGAGTTTTCATGAGACTACTGGCATGACTGTGTTGAGTTGTCATATGACTACTGATATGACTGTATCGTGTTGTCATATGACTACTGATATGACTATATCGTGTTGTCATATGACTACTGGCATGGCTGTATCGTGTTGTCATATGACTACTGACATGACCGTATCGTGTTGTCATATGACTACTGGCATGACTGTGTCGTGTTGTCATATGACTACTGATATGATTGTATTGTGTTGTCATATGACTACTAGCTTGACTGTATCGTGTTGTCATTTGACTACTGATATGACTGTGTTGAGTTGTCATACAACTACATGCATGACTGTGTTGGGTTGTCAGGTGTCTACTGACATAACTGTTGAATTGTCATGTGACCACTGACACGACTGTGTTGAGATGTCATGTGACCACTGACATGACTGTATCGCTTTGTCATGTGTCTACTGACATGACTGTGTTGAGTTGTCATGTGTCTACCGACATGATTGTGTTGAGTTGTCATGTGACCACTGACATGACTGTATCGGGTTGTCATGTTACTATTGACATGACTGTTTTGAGATGTCATGTGACTTCTGACATGACTGTATCGTGTTGTCATATGACTACTGGCATGACTATATCGTGTTGTCATATGACTACTGGCATGACTGTATCGTGTTGTCATGTGACTATTAACATGTTTGTGTGGAATTGTCATGTGACCACTGGCATGGCTGTATTGAGTTGTCATGTGACTACTGACATGATTGTGTTGAATTGTCATGTGACTACTGGCATGATTGTGTTGAGTTGTCATGTGACCACTGACATGACTGTGTTGAGTTGTCATGTGACTATTGATATGATTGTGTTGAGTTGGCATATGACTACTGACATGACTGTATCATGTTGTCAAATGACTACTGATATGACTGTATCATGTTGTCATATGACAACTGACATGACTGTATCGTGTTGTCATGTGACTACTGACATGACTGTATCGTGTTGTCATGTGACTACTGACATGGCTGTGTTGAACGAAACAGCAATTTAAACCATGCGTGCGTAACATATATACACATACAGTGTGAAAATAAATATCAGATTAAGCACTCCCTGCCCAATATATTTTTGTTATTGTTCAGAAAAGGGTGTCCCCAAATAGAAGCAATCAAAGCTGAAGGGAACAACCTTCTCCTGGGCTGGACAATCAATTTTACTCACAAGATGCAAAAGTATGTTTTGAAAGGAGTAGTATATACAATCATTGTATATAGTACTAAAGGCGTTGTTTACATATTTGTTTTCACATCCTGCGCGGCACTCAGTTTCTGTTACGAGTTGAAACGTCTGATATCGTTCAATTATCGATAAATTGTGACATCAGTACATTACCTCTGAGGATCAATTGATAATAAGCAAATTATATCAAAAGCGAATCATCAAAGTGTGTGCCAGATAGGTATTCCGATTGCGCTGGGCTGCGCCATTCCATTGAGTTGTGAATATTAAACTCCTGGTTAGATTTAGAATACAGCGTTTAAAATCCTTGACACGTGATATACAGTAGATATAGCACATGCCAACTGCCGGATAAATTGTCATTATCCTCACTGAATGTGCAGTTACAGTTGGTAAAATACCCTGTGACATTATGCTGCCTGTTTTGTCAGAAATGTTGGACATGAACTGGGAATGGGACAAGTATGCGTGTTACAATCGGGGATTCCCCCTGAAAAGTAGTTCCGGTTAAATGTGTGGAAGTTGAGTTGTGTTAGGCTTGACGTCACATCGGTATTACTTCAGCCCTGTAGTGACGACACCAAGTCTGGATTCTTACACATTTTAAGTAAAGATCCAACAAAATTTGTGTAAACTTGTTTGTACATTTTAAGTATAGATCCAACAAAATTTGTGTAAACGTCAAAAGGTGCAGTTGTTACTTTGAAAACGTTATTTTTGAAGTTTGTTGATATGTGAATGTGCGTACGTGTCTTCGCCTGTGCACGTGCGTTCGTGCATGTGTGTGCGCACGTGAGTGAGTGAATGCATCTCTTGGGATAACAATTTGATGTAACGAAAGAGTTGTGATTTCCCTCGGAATATCAGTTTCTTCAGTACTTAATGAACAAGTTAACATGTTTCTATGTCTGACATAGATGTGGTTGCTGGTATACTGTGTTTATCTATCCGGTGACTTGTCTCTTGAATCACATTCATTTATACACGTCCGTCCGTCTCTCCTGAATACAAATACGTCCGGTATCATTCTGCAAGATTGAGTATTTCACCTACTTGAAATAAATACGTCCGGTATCATTTTGCCGCGTTGAGTATTTAACGTACTTGAAATACACCAGTGCACAGTTGTATGCATTCTATATCGCCAGTATCTCTGGTTGTCAAGGTGAGATGGGAAATGCCAATATTTCCCAATGCTGGAAGAATGGACCACATAACCGTGCAGTCGACGTCACGGACGGCTAAAAGAGAGCCCGCGATTCGCAGAGCCAATTTATCAAGTCAATTATGATCAATACTTCGGTATTCATTAACTGAAATAATTTCTCTCTCTGGCAGACCTAAATTTGAGGTACTGGCCCAAAGCGTTTCTTTAAAATGGTAAAAAATATACTTTCCTGAAATAGTGTCCAGTTTCCAGAAAGGAGAGACGCATGGAACAAGTGTATATTCGGTGAGATTTTGATACAGTTTAAATATACTTTAAGAGCACGGTGGTGTTTTCACTTGTATTTCTTTAAAATACTTTGCATTTTGTAAACTTCATCGACGTCAACATTGATTGGAAAGATGTGACAAAGGCTACGGAAATTACTTGCAACATTTGTACAATTTCGTGGTAGGGGCTGTGAGCTGAGTGAAAACGAGATGACTTCAAGAGTTGCTTCCCCTGAAACCTGTATGTCTCCCAACACCACCGACTATGTCAGCGTCAGTGTTCAAATGCTCTAACCGTACACCAGAGCTGTCACAATAATGGTAAAGGAAAACTGGTGTTCCTGTTAGAAATTTACGAACCTTCGATCTTGTATTGTCTGTGTAGTCAGAAGTCACTATCTAAAATAAACTTCTTGTGTAGAATCGTTCCAATCGAAAATTTACAGTCCACTCATGTGTAGAGATTTAACATCGTTAATGCAGTCTGGGTTTATCTCACATTTCCTGTCGAGCAAAGACGGAAACTATTTGAAACTTTAAAACCATAAATGTTTTTAAATGTGGTAGCCTTTTCACTACATGTGTTTAGTACAATACTTGTCAGGCTGCTTTTGATAACATCACTGTCATTATCAAGAATTCTCTCATTCTACTGGAACCACATGTTAAACACAAAACTATGGCCATTTGCAGGACTTTGATGCAGATATCAAGCATAATAGAGGCAAAAAACATGATGAACTATCCCAGGTTGTTCTCATGAGATTTAAATGTTTACCTTGTTTCTCGTATCGTGTGTGATTTTCGCAGTTTTACGCCAGTTAGCAGTCTTCCTACTCACGATCTTCAGACTTTCCTTCTTAGAGCTCAGTCACAAACCTTCCCAGAAGATGAAGAGCTTGATGTCATAGTGTATATGTATAGATCTCAGTCACAAACCTTCCCAGACGAGGGAGAGTTTGATGTCATGATGTATGTGTATAGAGCTCAGTCACAAACCTTCCCAGAAGATGAAGAGCTTGATGTCATAGTGTATATGTATAGATCTCAGTCACAAACCTTCCCAGACGAGGGAGAGTTTGATGTCATGATGTATGTGTATAGAGCTCAGTCACAAACCTTCCCAGAAGATGGAGAGTTTGGTGTCACGGTGTATGTACATAGACCTCAGTCACAAACTTTCCAGAAGAAGGAGAGTTTGATGTCACAGTGTATGTGCATAGAGCTCAGTCACAAACCTTCCCAGAAGAGGGAGGGTTTAATGTCATAGTGTATGTGGATAGAGCTCAGTCACAAACCTTCCCAGAAGAAGTAGAGTTTGGTGTCATAGTGTATGTACATAGAGCTCAGCCACAAACCTTCCCAGAAGAAGGAGGGTTTGATGTCATAGTGTATGTGCATAGACCTCAGTCACAAACCTTCCCAGAAGAAAGACAGTTTGATGTCATAGTGTATGTGCATAGACCTCAGTCACAAACCTTCCGAGACGAGGGAGAGTTTGATGTCATAGTGTATATGTATAGATCTCAGTCACAAACCTTCCCAGACGAGGGAGAGTTTGATGTCATGATGTATGTGTATAGACCTCAGTCACAAACCTTCCCAGAAGAAGGAGAGTTTGATGTCACAGTGTATGTGTATAGAGCTCAGTCACAAACCTTCCCAGAAGAAGGAGAGTTTGATGTCACAGTGTATGTGTATAGAGCTCAGTCACAAACCTTCCCAGAAGAAGGAGAGGTTGATGTCATTGTGTATGTACATAGAGCTCAGTCACAAAC